GAAAAATTAAAAAAATTAAAAAATTAAGTTTTAATAAAAGAACAACAAACATTTCTGGGAAAATACAAAAATCTATGCAAAACTTTGAAAAATTAATTTGAAAAAATGAATGAAAACTCCAAATAAACTCTAAAAACTGTAAAGATACAGTGCAAAATTGACCTCAGCGTAAACGGTAAATGCAAACAATAACAACAGAAGCGAAAGAGAGACAAAAATTCCTCGCAAAAACTTAAACACACACAGACCTAAACGCATTTAGAATTTTGCTGCAAGAATTTAAGGACTTAAACGCACAACAAACACAAAGCAACAACAAATAACGTTAATTACAACAACATGACAAGCTACAGCAGCAAAGTGACATATTCACACACACAAACAAACATACACGAAGTTCGAAAAAAGAAATACGAACAGCACAAACACGACAGCGGACGATACTCAACTCAATACCGTTAAAATCTAATACACAAGCAACTAAATATAGCGTGACTGCATAGCATTAAATAATTATGAGCTATAATTACAATTAATTAATTAATGTTTAATAATAATGACTACTGTATAATTGAATTTTATACGTAACACCTTCGCAAAATGAACAATTGGAAGTTTACTAATTATCGTACATACATACATACATAAGTAATTGACTGGCAATTAAACGGCACTGCAGTTGACGATTGCCGAARCCATGTCTTCRAAGTTGAGCGCCGCACACTTAGCTWAATGTACCGACTAAAATCCACTGTAAATTATTAAATATTATAAATACTTGCATTAAATAAGTATATAGAAGTGAGGCATTCGTAAATATGTAGTGCGTACAAGAGTGTACGGAGTTAAAACTAATTGAATAGTAAAGTAAATTAATTTAAACTGGATTATGAGAGTAAAAAAGAGCAGAAAAAACAATATTTGTAAGTTGTGAACTGTGGGCGACAAAGGGCGTAGTTAAAGAATTAATTCAATAAAGTGTAATATAGAAAGTAAAGAATTGTGTGTGTCTCTGCTTTTATTTAAATTGAGTGGCAATTTATTGTATGGAATTTTCTTTAAATAACTTTCGAAGGAACTGTAGGCGCATAAATCTACTGTGACCATATCCAAGCTGTTTTTTTAACCAACGCATTAAATGAGAAAAATTAATTATCAAAAAGTAGGTCAAGATTTCGGTCAGCAACCTCAAACCTTCACACGTCAGATCGAAAAATATACCACATTGTGTTAAGCCCTTTTTGTTTCAACATTTTTCTTCTTCATTCTTCTTCTTCTTCATTATTGGCGTAAATACCACTTACCTGGTTATTCCCGAGTTTACAACAGCGCTAAAGACGTTTCTTCTTGTGCTATTTGGCGCCAATTGGAGATTTGAAGTATAGACAGGCCCGGTATTTTCAAGGACTTAACGCATAGTGAAAATCTGGTCAGTTATTGGTTTGCCAAGGTATGGAGCCAAACCGATAAGATGCAATCAGTTTGTTGGAGGTGGGCTTTAGTMTTTCACACWATACGCTCGATAGAACTTTGCTTTTGTCCGACCAAATTCTACAAAGAACTTGATGGATGCTTCTTCTAAGTTCTTCGCCGCCGTATTTGAAATGCTCGATCGGCGATTTATCCCGGTTCAACTCCATTTTTTGACTGGTATGAATATTTTAAGTTACTGTAAATCATACAAATAACGCTCTTATATCAAAACGTTCTGAGTATGTAAAATAAMAAAAATGTCAAACTTTAYAATAAAGTTGTGATTTGCCAGATTRCTAGGGTTGCCAAGTACTTACAGAAACAAATACTGCAGCTTTAAGCAACTAAATCTATCTTCAATAAGTCTCTACCTATATAAAACAGGAACTAGGCCACATATATTAGTTTTACTTCAAGTCAAAATAGTTTGCCCCACACTAACTACATGTTTTTCTATTGTTTTAATAAATAAATATGAGTTATTCATGAACCTCAAAGCGCAGATACGATTTGTATAGGCGCAAAGTGTGGTATGTTGACCAGCGAACGGAGTGAGCCACTGACAGCTGCATTAATGCGACATGTCAAAAATTAAAASTGGTTATGTGTCATGTTCACGCATCAAATGTCACAACAAAAGTCGGTAAGTGACAGCAGTTGATTTGGGTTTCCGAATTTTTGAAACGATAACAACAAAACATTGTCTTATGTTAATTCGTTAAAACTTAGGGGTGGGAAAAATGTTTGAAATTATTTGGACCAGCAATATGACCGCAGCTGCCCATTTTGGTTTTGAGGTTACGGTAGCGCAGCATTTCAAATAACAAATGTCACAAACGTGTTAATTTGTATCACTCAGTTTCTTAAAYGATTTGAATGTCTGAAGTGTAAAGCTATTTTTTCTGCAACTACTGACAGCTGAGCTTAAAGGTTTATGGTTGCTGGTGGAAGAGGAACAACTTACCGGAGCTAAACTTTCTAAAAATGCATTAAAAATTTTACTTTATTTCTACGTTACGCAGACGATTGCCCAGTTAATGTGTTTTTATATAAATTTAACTGCAATAGTTGCCATTATTTAAGGCTCCAGCTATTATTTTTGCTAAGCAACCACAACGGCAGTCCATTGTAAAGGCCACTGTACTATGCTGAGCCAATAAACATAAATCGTGAAACAATTTCTCATAGCTCCTATAGCAACAAACTAGCATATAGTGGCTGAAGGCACACAAGTGGTTCATATAACTGCACATTTATATACAAAATTCCATTTGCACTCCCCAAAATAAGTATGTGTTCCACAAGTTCAATGTGGTTGCCGTAGTTTCGGTTAGTTGGTTTGTGCTTTTCGGTGTTCTTTGTTTATTAAAGTTTTTGATGTATTGCCGGTTGGCTGGTTTAAATATGAAATATTACA